AAGCCTGTGACACAAATGTATTGTACTTCTAATTGATGACAAAAATGTTGCAGTAATGAAGGATTAATTCTACAAACTCCATAAAGGGCACAACATAGCGTAAATCCTCAAACCAAGATGTCTGCTAAAAATTGAGACTAAGGGAACGTCAGAGTACATAGACAAATTAGAAAAAAAAAAAAAGGGGGAAAAGCATAGCCAAAAGAAAAGGAAGCACCATCTCCCAACTCTCCATTCAACTGGACATTTAAGAAAATCATAAAATAAATAAGACATTCATTTTCAAGTGGGTTTCATGTCCTGAAACAGAGCAGCCCATAACGTATGATCCCCATAAGCCCCAGCCTCCTTCTCCTTGCCATAGTCACTGCAGATCTTTGGGCTTGGAGGTCTTCCATACAGCGGCCCGGATAGCATAGGGCTCCTACTAGGGAACGTCAGTCTCTCTTGTGCCTTCCCGTCTATAGGCCCAGACAGCACGGGGCTCTTGTAACTGAACACCAACTTCTCACTGGCCTTTCTATCTAAAGGCCCAGACAATTTTAGGCTCCTGTTACTATTAGCGAACATCGACTTCTCTTGCCCTCTTCCATCAAGAGGCCCGGATTTCGCTATCTTTCTGTAGTTTCTGGGCATTGGCTGCTCTACCCTCAGTTCCTTCTCGCTCTTGCACTTTCTGGTGAACCCTCCCCTCCATCCAATCTCTGGTGGCTCCGGCAGCGGCTTGATGATGGCCGTTTCCTCGTGGTGAACCAGCTTCTTGATGACGTACTTGTTGAAGCACTTTTTGGTCTTGTTGATAGCCAGAACCAACTTGGAAAGCCTGGTTTGGCCTGACCCGACTTCCTTTCTTGCAAGCTTGAGGATCTCAAGACGGTGCTTGGCAACCGAAATGCCCATGCTCTGGAGAAATTCATGGTTCAAGTAGGTAAGATCCTCCTTCTGGAGCTCGTTACGAGAGAAGGCAAGGCCATATTCATAGACGAGGGAAGGATCAAGGCCACTTTTTGTTAGCCAAGAGTACCAGTCCATGGGTAGGTTTTGTCATATGGCGCTGAATTCTGAGGTGGGTAATGTTATATGCTTGTATATAAGGAGATAAGAGGGTAAGTAAATGTGGTTGGTATGTAGGGATTGCACGATAGCATCTCTTGTTGAAATTTTGGATGGTAGTTGGAAATTGAGAGCGACTTGAAGCGAAATTGTGGAGGAATAGTTAGTTACAGGAACGAACTCACTTCTTTTTTATTAATTTCTTACTCCTCTCTTCTTATTTAACCAACAATCTATCTATCTGTATATATAATTAATTAAAAGAAAGTAAAATTTTACCTAACATATAAATGGTAAGTAAAATTTTTTTAATATGTAATACTTATTGAATAGTTTACTTTGATAAAAAAAAATTATTATTAAATAATATATTATACAATAATTTATCTATTATATACTTTTATAATCAAGATAAAAATAATAATTATGTAATTATTACTAACACATTTTATTTTA